ATCAATCTTGAAGATCTCAGTATGATGAATAATTCCCCCTTGTTCTCTGCGTGAAGTCGTGGATGTTTTCTCTGCCTCGTGTGCTTCTTATAGAGTTGTTGCCTTGTACAATCCCTACTAATAAGGTAAGAAAGTTATGTTTAAACAAGGATTCTTTTTTAAATTAGAATCCTTATTATACACAACTTCCTTCCTTAATAATATATTTAAGGTTTTCCTTATTTATATTGACTTGTACCTTTAATATATTATTTTGACTTTGGCAAATAACTCTATTTTACTTGATCTTGGACTTCTTTCGCTGCGTACATTTTCTACTGTTCTTTGCGCTTTTTGTCTATCATCAAAATGAAATAACGATTCTATCACATTCTATCATATTCCCCCTTTTTGATGAAGACAAACATGTAACGTGTGATGCATGCGCAAATAATTCTTCCCCCTTTTGACGAATCAAAAAGACATAAGCAGCGGCTAATCAACACTAATCAATATCCATAGCAACAAAATACGCCCAGCCAGGTGAGCAATGTAAATTGTTCTGGCAACAAAACAAGGAACAACAATACAGAGTGAAACCAGCTAAGAGAACCAGGTTCAGACAACATGCTTTATCATTGTGGAGGCTGACCAGGCTTAGTTGAAGCTGATGCCAGCATATCCAAAACTCTGTCAACTCTGGCATTGTTAGCAAGTATCTGCTGCACCAACTGATCCTTCAAGCTGTGTATGTCAGCATTTGAGGAATCGAGCTCAGCACGTAACTTCTGATTGTCTGATTCAAGAGAGGTGTTCTTTTCTTCAGCTACTTTAAGCTCCCTAAGTAACTGAGCAACAGGACCAGATGTACGTGGAGACGCTGTTGCAACCTGCTCTGACTCCATAGGAATGCCACAATCAGCAAGGATAGTTTGAGTGAACATGTCTGCACGAGTTAAGATCCTGCCTTCACCCAGTGGTACTTCAAAAACATCAAACACCCTAGTCAATAGGTTGCCAAAGGCTAAATGATGGGAGCCTAACTGAGGATCCACAATTCTAGCAAGATGTTTAATAATTAATGTAGGCCAATCAATGCGCTCTTTGCACTCAAGTGCACTCATAAGTCCCATGTCTCGTATGGAGGCAATGTGACGTTGGTGACCTCTAGGCAGTATCACCTTATGAACTATCTCAAAAAGAAGCTTATGCAAAGATCGCATTATTCCCTTTAAAACAGTTTGAGCCCTGGAATTGACTCTACCTTGCGAGAATCGAGCTGGCAGGCTTGAATACTCATCAAAACTCCAATTGTACTCATTTATACCTACAGATGGTATATGAAATATTTCCCCAAGTTTGGTTGCATCAAACACAATATCAACACCCTTTACATTAGACGACACCACATCTCCTTCTAAGATTACCAAATTTGTATAGAAATCGACCACTTCCTTTTCATAAATCAAACTAGGTTCTAGAAATAACTCCTCCCACCCTTGAAACCTTAGAAGTTCACAGACCTGCTTCACTAAATCCATTGACAGTATATCAGGATGAAAGGTTCTACCCCTAAGCACTGATTTGGTTTGGAAGTACTTTTTCCTTCCCACTTTTAGAAATTTATCTGCATTTCTTTTCGCAGATTTTGTTTTGGATTGAGGGGTTGCAGAATGTTTTCCCTCAGACAGAGCATCAGTATCAGAAGCAAGATCCATTGGAGAGACTGATGAAGGAACATGAGACTTACCCAAACGTCGACGTTTCACCCTAGATGTTGTATCAGCAGCTGGCTTGACCGCATGCGCACTCCTTGTTACTGGCCTGTGTGGACGAGCCTCTTTGACAGCAATATGCTTTCTTGGCTGCCGTGGTTTTGTAGGGTGAAGGGAACTCAAAAGAATATCATCATGGGTGTGAGAAGGTGGTGGGTTTTGAGGAGTGGTTTGGTGAGATGGTGAAGAAGGGGGGATGGTTGGGACAGTGGTTGTGGGAGATGTTGGGTTTGGTGAAAGTAGGGTTTCGTGGGCCGATGATGCTGGAGGTTCTTGGACTGGTGATGGGGGAGATTCGATGATGGGTGGTGATGGGGAGTCAGGAACGACAGGTGACAATGCTCCTGTAACTGGTGATGATGAGGGGGTTACTTGTGGTGGTGGAAATGTAGCTTTTGGTGGTGGAGATGGAGTTTTTGGTGGTGGTGATGGAGATTTTGGTGGTGGTGATGGAGTTGGTGGTGGTGGTGATGAGGTTTTTGGTGGTGGTGATGAAGATGTGGTTGGGAGTTGGGTTTCGTCCCCAAGATCGGGCACACCATCAACAACTTGGTTTTCTTCCCCCTGAAGAGATGCACTATCAGACGAGCTGTCGTCATCGGAGTAAGCAACAAGTAGATTAGTCATGGTTATGGAAGGGATGGTGGTTTCTTGGTTTTCTGAAGAATGAAGATGAGAGATGGGAGGTTGCTAGTTTAGAGAGAGTGCTTTATTGGGAGTGGGTTTAGTGTGGTAATCAAGGGATTGGAGTAATGATGGGGGATTGACATCAAGGGGACGTGCACCGTGACGGTTGCACCTGCTTGTCAGGGAGGCATGGGAGAGAGAAGATGAAATTGATTTCCCCCTTCTTTTTTTTGATTTTTTTAAAATATAATTTTCCTTTTTTTTAAAGAAAAATTTAAAAAAAATTTAATTTCCCTTTTTTTTTAAATAAAGATTATGTGGAACCATCTTGACAGAACCTGGTTTATACCTCAGTAGAACTTGGTTGGGCATGGTTCATTCCAAGAAGATGAGCCCTAACTCAAGTCTATTTTTCTGAAATAACTCTCTTCCTAGTGCCTTGGTGAAGATGTCCGCAACTTGATTCTCAGTTTTGCAGAACTCCATAATTATGTTTCCTTTTTCAACATTATCACGAAGAAAGTGATGTCTAACATCTATGTGTTTGGTGCACTTGTGTTGAACTGGGTTTTTGGCCATGTTTATAGCACTTGTGTTATCACATAGAATAGGAATACAACCTGTTTCTATACCAAAGTCTTTAAGCTGCTGTTTTATCCAAAGAAGTTGGGCACAACAAGAAGCAGCTACAACATACTCAGCCTCTGCAGTAGATAGCGCCACGGAATTTTGTTTTCTTGTTGCCCAGGATATCAAACATGGTCCTAAGAAGTGTGCCATCCCAGAAGTACTTTTTCTATCAACCATGTGTCCTGCATAATCAGCGTCAGCAAATCCCTTTAGATCAAAAGAATCACCAGTTGGATACCATAGAACCAAGTTTATTGTTCCTTTCAAATATCTCAGGATTCTCTTGACAGCTTTTAGATGTGATTCCTTTGGACACGACTGAAATCTTGCACATAGACCAACACTAAACACTATATCAGGTCTGCTGGCAGTGAGATATAGGAGTGATCCAATCATACCTCTATATCTAGTGTCATTGACTGGTGAACCTGATTCATTTTTATCGAGCTTTGTTGTTGTCCCAATGGGGGTATCATTAGTCTTAGCTTCATTCATATCATACTTCTTCATTAATTCCTTGATGTACTTTTGCTGATGAATTGATGTTCCAACTGGTGTTTGCTTAATTTGGAGTCCCAAGAAGAAATTCAATTCTCCCATCATACTCATCTCGAACTCACTATTCATTAGTTGAGCAAATTCTACTCCTAGTAAGTCATTGGTTCCTCCAAATATAATGTCATCTACATATACTTGAACTATGAACAGATCTTTACCTTGTTTTCGAAGAAACAGTGTATTGTCAATCTTTCCTCTTGTATATCCATGTGTGAGAAGGAAGGTAGACAATCGATCATACCATGCTCTTGGTGCTTGTTTCAACCCATAGAGTGCTTTGTCCAGTTTGTATACATGATCAGGATATCTGGTGTTTTCGAAACCTGGAGGTTGTTTTACATACACCTCTTCTTGTAGGTAACCATTTAAAAAGGCACTTTTGACATCCATTTGGTAGAGTTTAAACTCCATGTGAGCAGCATATGCAACCAGTATTCTAATTGCCTCAATTCTTGCTACTGGTGCGAAGGTTTCATCATAATCTATACCTTCTTCTTGGTTGTATCCTTGTACAACTAGCCTAGCTTTGTTGCGCACTATTTGACCTTGCTCATCGAGCTTGTTTCTAAACACCCACCTAGTTCCTATTACTGTTCTGTTTTGGGGCTTGGGAACCAGGTTCCACACTCTGCTTCTTTCAAATTGGTTGAGTTCTTCTTGCATAGCACCAATCCATTCAGAGTCTAGTAATGCTTCATTTGTATTTTTAGGCTCAATCAGGGACACATAGGCAGAGAATGCACATGTACTACGTAGTTTGGATCTTGTAGATATGCCTGAGTTAAGAGGAGTGAGAAGATTTTGCAGAGAGTGAGAGCTTTAATGTTTCCAATTATGAGTAGGAATACTTACTACTTCTTGAGGTGCAGATGAACCAGTTTCATTAGAAGACTTATCTCCTATTTCAGATGTTTTGTCAGATGGTATGGGTTCTTTTTCCCGTGTTTTTGGGTCTGACGACTTGAAGCAGGTTCCCTCATCTTGTTCATCCTCTAAATTTCCTTCAACTTCACTAGTATGTTCATTAAAGACAACATGGACACTTTCTTCTACACGATTTGTTCTTTTATTCAGTACCTTGTAGCCCTTGCTTTGTGATGAGTACCCTAGAAAGATTCCTTCATCACTCTTGGCATTGAATTTTCCCAAATTGTCTTTGTCATTGTTGTGTATAAAACATACACATCCAAAGGCCCTAAGATGTGCTAGATTTGGTTTTCTTCCTTTTAGTAGCTCATATGGTGTTTTGTTTAACACTGATCTAATCATACATCTATTTATTAGATAACATCCTGTATTTACTGCTTCAGCCCAATAGAATTTTGGGAGTTTGCTTGAGATTAACATTGTTCTTGCAATATCTTCCAGTGTTCTATTTTTCCTCTCAACAACACCATTTTGTTGTGGTGTTCTAGGTGCTCAGAAGTTATGCTATATCCCATTTGTAGTACAAAATTGTAGGAATTGTGAGTTCTCAAACTCCAGTCCATGATCAGGTCTGATGCTGATTATTTCTTTGTTGAATTTCTTCTGAACCAGCTTTGCAAAAGCTTCAAACATAGTGAATGTCTCGTCCTTTGTTGCAAGAAACAATGTCCAAGTGAATCTTGAGTAGTCATCAACTATTACAAACACATATCTTTTTCCACCTCTGCTTTGTACACGCATTGGTCGACACAAATCCATGTGAAGCAATTCAAGTGGCTTAGTAGTACTTACTGTCAACTTTGGTTTGAAGGATGACCTAACCTGTTTTCCTTGAATGCAGGTTCCACATACTTGGTTGTCCTTGAAACTTTTGGTTGGCAGTTCCCTAACCAGGTCTTTAGATATGAGTTTGTTTATAGTTGTCATGCTAATGTGTCCCATTCTTTTGTGCCATAGCATGGAGCAATCTGAGACTGCACTCAGACATTTAAGATTATCTTCCTTGAAGTCAACGGTCTTGACTTTGTACACATTTCTGTCTCTTTCCTAGTAGAACCAAATTTCCAGTCACTGAGCTTGTTACTCTGCATTCTTTTTCTGTAAAGAGAACGTTGTTTCCTTTATCACATATTTGCGATACGCTCAAAAGATTATGTTGTAGACCATTTACATAATATACATTCTCAATTGCATGAGTATCCATTGTTCCAACCTTTCCAATTCCTTCAATTTCTCCACTTTTACCATTTCCAAAGGCAACATTTCCTCCTTTGATGTTCTTGAGTGAGAGGAAGCTTCTTTTATCTCCAGTCATGTGTCTTGAGCATGCACTATCCAAGTACCATTGTTGCTGCTTCCTCTTCACTGATCCCTGCAATTTATTGTTGGATTTTAGATTTTGGTACCCAAATCCACTTTGATTTAAGCTTAGGGAATGGGTGAATAAGATTTCTTCTGGCCCATCTAGGAAGAGACTCGTCTATAAGGATTTGTTTTTGCTCATTGGGTTTATCATGATGAGGTTTTCTCAAGGATTTCAAGTTTTTGTCATGGACAGTTTGTTTCTTTTGACAATCATGACTTTTATGTCCTACCAGTCCACAGTGCATGCATAAACAGTCTATGTTGGGATTTTTTCCTTGAGAGCTGGTTCTATCAAAACCTATCCCATGTTTCTCAAATGTGCGATTATTGTGAATGTTGTCAAGCAGTATGGAGGACCTGGTCCATCTCATTCCATTTTCTGCTTCAGTTTTAGTCACAAGAAGCTCTTTGGAGAGTGTTTCATTCCTTTTAATTACCAGTTCTAGATTTTTACTTAGTTTGGTATTCTTGGATAAAAGATGAAGATTCTGTTTTTCAAGACTCTTGTTTTCTTCTCTTAGTGATGCATAGTCTTCCATTATCAGTTCCCTTTTTGAGTCTATGGTTTTATATTCATCAATGAGAGTGTAGAGTAAGGATTCTAGCTCTCTTTTTGAGTATGAACCTAGATTGTCTTGTAAGTTATGAAGACTAACCTTTTCATTTATGTCTTCTTCTTCTTCTTCTTTTTCAGAATCTGATCCAGCCATAAGTGCTAGTATGGTTTCTTGTGATCTACAAGTTTCCCTTTCTTCCTTGTTTTCCACTGCTACAAGGGCAAGAAAGTCATAATCATCTTCTTGTTCTAGTGCAAGAAGAGACTGGTTTTCTATCTCATCACCCTCAAACTCTTCATCAGATGAATTCCCCATTGCTGCAAAAGCCCTCTTCATTGACATGTCTGCCTCTTGAATTGTCATTCTTCTGTTTGAGGGGACAAACTTATCCTTTTTGATATCTTTCCCTTTCTCATAGTTTACCTTTTTCTGTTCTACAGCCCAGAGTGGACAGAATTTGATGAAGTGATCTGGACTCCCACACTTATGACAAACCTGTTCTTTAGTGTTTTCAGATCGTTTTTGAAAAGCTTTCTTTTGAAAGGGTTGCCCTCTCTTTAGCATTCTGGTGAACCTTTTGGTTATGAGGGCAATGTTTTCATCTTCAAAATCATCTGATGCAGTAGCCTTTAGAACCAGGTTCCTTTCCTTTCTTTTTCCTCCAATTTCCTTTTCTTGGTTTTTCTTAAGTTCGTAAGTAATGAGATTACCAATTAACTTATCCATTCCCAGTGAGTCTAGGTCGCGGGCTTCAGTGATAGCCTCGACTTTGCTTTCCCAGGTTTCAGGAAGGACACTCAAGAGTTTCCTTACTACTTTTCCATTAGGCACTATCTCTCCTAAAGAGTACATTTCATTGATGATGGAGGTGAACCTGGTGTGCATATGTTGAATAGTCTCTCCTTCTTCCATCCTGAACAGCTCATATTGCCTGTTCAAGTTATCAATCTTAGACTTCTTGACTTGTGTTGTTCCCTCATGAGCTGTCTGCAGTGTTTCCCATATGGCTTTGGCATCTTGACATGACGAGAATCGATTGTATTCGTCTGGTCCTATGCCACATATCAGAATTTTCTTGGCTTTGGCATTGTTTTGAATTGCAAGCTTGTCTTCAACATTCCATTCCTTTCTTTCCTTTGGGATTTTGGTGATTCCATCAGTTGCTGTTTTCATAGGTATGGTTGGGCCATCTAGAATTACTCCCCACAGATCAGGGTTTTCGCCAATAAGATGGTCCATCATACGATTTTTCCACCATCCATAATATTTGCCATTAAACAGTGGTGGTCGTGTTTGTGAAGCTCCTTCTTGTGGGGTAGGTGGTGCTGCCATTTAATCTTTTCAAGGTGTGAATCTTTTAACGAAAAGACCTGCTCTGATACCAATTGAAGAAACCTTACCCCAGAACACGAACCAGGTTCGTGTAAGTTGCTTTTAAGTAAAGACAGAATAGAAACACAAACACTTATTGAATTAAAAACCTTCCTCACTCAAGAAAGGAAAAACCTCGTTTTATTAATTCAACTATAAGATTTTGTGATTACAACTCAATAATCAAAAGTCTTATCTCTACTACTCCCTCGATTGACTCCAATCAATCTCACCAAAAGGCCAAACCCACCTTTTGTTACAACTCTTACTAACACTCAACCCTACAAAGAGCCAAACCCACCCTTTGTACAATAAACTGTAAACTACAATTAAGAACGAAAACAAGACAAATAGTTCTTCGCGATAAAACCTTCTAACTCAAGAACGTTTTGTCCGTGGCAATCCTATCAATCTTGAAGACCTCAGTATGATGAATAATTCCCCCTTGTTCTCTGCGTGAAGTCGTGGATGTTTTCTCTGCCTTGTGTGCTTCTTATAGAGTTGTTGCCTTATACAATCCCTACTAATAAGGTAAGAAAGTTATGTTTAAACAAGGATTCTTTTTTAAATTAGAATCCTTATTATACACAACTTCCTTCATTAATAATGTATTTAAGGTTTTCCTTATTTATATTGACTTGTACCTTTAATATATTATTTTGACTTTGACAAATAACTCTATTTTACTTGATCTGGGACTGCTTTCGTTGCGTACATTTTCTACTATTCTTTGCGCTTTTTGTCTATCATCAAAACGAAATAACGATTCTATCACATTCTATCAGCTCTTTTATGTACTCGTCAGGCTTTTGGTGGTCCATCGAGGTAATTTTTCTTATACTTGTGCATAAGTGTACCTTCTTGGCTTATTGATGTCTAGTTAGGTTAGTTTCTTGTTGTTCTCTTCCACTCTATCCTAGAATCATGTGTAATCCTATTATATTTTTGTTCATTTGACCTCTATAGAGTTATTTCTTTCTTTTGATAGTCTTTACTTTTCAAGCTCAGTCGGTCTATGATACCTACTAGATACCTGTTGTTTTGGTACTAATACTACACTCTACCTATGTTTTCAGGACGCATCTCCAAGCATCATTTATCTGCGCTAATATAGAGTTGGTTGCAGTAGGATTCAGAGATGAGGATGACCTTATGGCATTCTAGATCATACCTATCCATCCTAACCCCCAGGGCATTCCATGACACCCATCAAGGGTCTTTTCTATTATTAATTCAAGCTAAAAAACTTTCCCAAAAGTAAAATAGTTGATTTGAGGCTTAAGAATCAAACTACAAGTTGGAAAAGAAATTAGCTCACCTTAACTAAAGATCTTGGTGGGAAAACGTTGGAAAGTTGCCATCAGTCGCCCTTTCTTTTCCCAAGAATGAAGTTTAAGAAAATAAGTGATTTTGAGAGTTTTTCCGAATAGAAACCCCACAACCCTGCTACAGTTTGTGTCGCCATGGGGGAAACCCCTATATAACGGGAATTAATTTATCCCATTGTCGATACATGAAACCTTCTATAGTAGCTGCATGGTGACATAAAATCCTTCCCAAATTCCACCTTTTACAATACACCTTGAATATATACGTTCTATAATATTCACACCAAGTTCGATAGTGGGAGTTTTATTCACCCGAATTCAATTTTGAAACTCCTATGGCTTCCTTAATATCTTAGATACTAGGAAACACAATCCAATATTAGACATACCATCCAAAACCTTCTAGGATTTCCCTAGACCTCACCTTGCTCATATCTCATCTAAGACTAGCCTAGCCTAGAAGTTTAAAGTCACTACGCAAAATGTTTGCTAACTCAATTCATAAATCACCCATTGGACCTAATGATGCTACAAAAACTCAAACAGACCTTATTTACCCAAAATATTTACTTTGGTCAAACTTTCTAAAAACCAATCTTTTAAAAAGGAAAATCTTCTACATAAAACATTCGATCACCTCAGGTACTATGTGACTCATCTCCTCAAATCATAAAATGCATAATGAAACTATGAGAAGGGTAAAAATAAGGGGAAAATGTTGAAAAATATAACAACCATGAGAATGTTAAAAAGTAGTGAATAAGCACAAATTTGGTTCACTTGCATATTCTAAATGAAAATTGCCACACATTGATAACAGTTGTTCACATGATTAAAATTGTAATTACTTGAACTTGATTAAGCAATTTAAGTTAGATTTACTAGAATATTTAAGTAATTATTTTCCAGCAAATTATAGAAAAGTTGTTGGTTCCTATAAAAGTAATTTTTAAAATTATGTTGTGAATTTTAAGAACTAGACATTGACTTGATTGTCCTTTATAGAAAAAATGGAAAAGAATGCACTGTCATTTTTCTTACAATCCTATGACATCTTATAAAAATGGTGTTTTATTTTATTATTTTGAATCAATTTACTATTTTAGTATATATTGGTATCCAGATGATTCTTTTCCTTCCATTTTCTTAAATTAAAATACAAATTATTTTGTTCATAGCTCAATAATGTAAAGCAACAACAATCTTAGTTTAACCTTGTAAAGGTAGATATGTTGTTTTAGATAGATCCTTGTCTCAGTAAGAACCATACAAAATATGGTTACTGAATCAAAGAAAACAAAATGTAATTATACAATTACGAAACAAGATAATTTGTGAATGATAAAGAGAACACTAACAAGAAAAATTAGATGACGTTTAGCTACCAACTAACCCTCTTCTCAGATCTTTGATCTCCATGTCACGCCCCCAGCCTACACCCTGGGTGCGACTGGCACTCGATGACCATTGTTGGCCTCGAGTGGACCCTTGAATAAACTTAGCGGAAGACAACAATCACAGTTATAATGATTAAAGAACTAATAAAAATAACTGGGAATATATTAAAGATTTGAACATCAACTTGGCCAATGACAACCCAAGTCTTTAATATAAGAATGAAAATGTAAGACTACTGAACTACTACATTGTCTATGAAGCCTCTAAACTGACTGAGATAGATAATGGGAGAAACCATATATTGGGATAAACCTCACAACATCCTATTGAACTAACTAGAAAACAATAAAAGATGTCCTCCGGAGTGCAAGGAGGCTCACCAACAAGCTCTGAAGTACTCAACTGGATCAACGATGTGTTGGATGTCGATCCTCACTACCTGCGTCTGCATCATAATATGATGCAAGCCATCTGGCATCAGTACATTGAATGTACGAGTATGAGAGTTGGAATGTTAATACAACATATGCTAGAAAGATATTATGAAAGAAACACTCACCTTGTCTCTTCTCAACTCATGAATAATTACTTCACTCATTTAAGTATAAAGCAGATTTAAACAAGTGCAATATTAAGAAAAGTTGTTTACAAACAGGATAAATACTTTGTGTATGCAAAGATACATGAAACTCTGATATGTATGTAAAAATACAATGCAATGATGTATATGAAAATACAATAAACTCTATGGGGGTTTCTCTAAGCGAGAACCATCACACAAGAGCTATAGTGATAATACATCGATATATCTCACACTGTCAGCGTATCCTATACCCGCCCAATGGTATAAGACCTGAACTACCTAATGGATGTGAGTTGTTTGCACTCTTCCCCATATTGGTGCTCACTCCCAAAATATACTGACTCTTATGTTTTTAAAATATACTTACTAGTGTGGTTTGAGATTATTTCTCAAAAACATGCTAGAAGACTATCTTGGAAATCTTAGTTTCCCAGCTTGCTTCATTTAGAACTACAAGAAATTGGACCTACGACAACAACTTCTACGGAAACAGATTGAAAATTGTTGCCATGTATAGTCTATTGCAACGGTTAAACCGTCACATATGATTTATAGTGTTATCTCCATAGATTACCAAATAACTGTTGCAGCTTTGTAATAATTGTTGCTATAGAAGACCTGATACAATTGTCTTCTATACTCATTGTGATATATATTTTTTAGCAACAGGTTTATTTCTATTACTACGATTTGTAGAATCCCTCCGTATGTTTCCCACAATTTTCACAGTGCCGCCTAAATGAAAAAAAAAAAAAAAAAGCAATCCCTCCTTATTCATCACATATTTTTTGATAATCTCAAAAAATAAAAATACATGGTGGGACCTTCAGTAACTACAACCTACAGAGGCTAGATCTTTTTATCGAAAATTACACCACGACGTTTCTAGCTCTCACAAGCTTTCATTTCTATCCAAATGTTTTTAAAATCTTTTCATTCAATGGAGAAAATGATTCCTTGTTGAAACTTGCTCGATCCAAATTCTCAATCTCACTGAAGAGTTCAAAATCGCTTGCAAGAGAGTCGAAAATTGCTAGTTTATTCACTAATTTCGAGACCCCTAACTTAACCGGTTCCGAAATGCAAGTAAGTTATCTAATTTTTCACCCTAATTATCTACAAAATAATTGTTATGTTCTTTAGAGTGGTTGGTTATCAATGGACTAAATTGTTTTTTTTTTTATAATCAAAGGAACGAAATGTATGGTACTAGGATGAGTAAAAAATGTCCTTTTTCATTAGGTTCATGTTCTAACCTCATTACGGGTGATAGTGAACACATTTTCTTCAAGTATATACTGAAATATTTAAATAACAAGTAAAATTTTGGCATTTACATGTCATTTTTAAAAGGATGGTAAATGTTGAAGCATTTTGAAGGAACGGTTAGAGGGTCGCTAATTCAGTCTATGTGTTAAATTATGTGCACGAGTATTCATGTGCTTATTATATCTATAAACCGATGCATATACCATGTATTGACTAATAGGAGCTTTCGTTTTGATTGATTTTGAGCCTTTTGTATTCTTTTATATCATTGTATTACATCTCCACTAATTGGAAATTCACATAATATTTTACCGTAGTCATACTACCATCGCAAAGTCACAACATGTCCAACAAACATTAATATAATAGGAAGACTTCTCATAAACAAATTAAGAAACCCAATTTTCTTCACAATCATCTTTAGGATACTGGCCTTTTTGTTGATAGGAGAAGCAACAATGTTGTCAGTGGGGCTTGAAATAATACTAGCAAAATATCCAACAATATATCCAGCTAATGAAGTTATACCGTGAGCTGCTGAGTTCTTGAACTTTCTTCCCTCTTTTTGGGATTTCTTTCTAATAAAATAAATTTATTTTATGCTCAAAGGTTGAAAACATAATAGTGAGAATCGTATATATTACAATTCAGTAGCGGAATATGCTCTATGTATAACTCATGGAGGCCTTTTGATGCATATTTTCTTGGAAATACATTGTATGACTGTTGTTTCAGCAACAATTCAGCTACTCTATTAATTTCCTAGTTAGTTAAGGCTCTTCTAAATATCAAATTCCATCCTTACTGATGTGATGTTGGAGGCATATAAAGTAGAGTTTAGGGAAGATATCCTGCTCTATCCATTCGTTTTCCATAAATTCAGTCTTCAAGAGGGATATTTATATCGACTTTAGTTATGATATAATGGATATAAGGAATGTACACCAAGACATTCCTATTCTAAACTTGTGGTGATCCCAAAAGTTATTTTTATATTGTTTCGTCTTTTCATCAAGAAAATAATAGTGTTCACCTCCTTTATGTATTGCAGATTAGGATAAAAGATTTTCATTCTCAAAGCATCTAATTCAAGAATATCTTGGAAGCTCAACAGTGAAATTAACCTTCCAACGTAGCTCCTTCTTACAATCTCCACTTTTTCCTCGATCTAACTTCTTCCATGTGTTAACTAAAGAATTTCCTTTCTATGGAGGACAAACATCTTCACCTGTGTTTCTTATTTCATTCCGATCAAGTACGTTATTCTTTATATGATCTCTTTTCCTATTTTTACGGTTTAAGATTTGATAAAAGTCAATTGTTTGCAATAAATTTTAAACATATGGAAAATCAAAAAATCATACAAATAAAATATGAAGAAACATGATTTTATTGATTAAGATAGCGGGTACAATTCTATTGAGGCCTTGCTTTTACTCTCTTAGGATTTATCTATGATTCGAGGGCCGTTAGTGGTGTATTTCTCGAACTAGGATGATTTAGATTTTGACCTCTCTTTATGAATAAACCATCAATTTGTGGAGTATCCAAAATTTTGATCTCTTTATAAAATTTCTGAGATGCCTTTTAAGAGAATTCAGTATCCTTATATAGGCATAAATTACGATTTAGGGTTGAATAGCCTCAAAGAATCCTAATTTGAGTTGATCACAATTTGTAGAGTCCAAACTCATATTGAACACGTCTTGTAGAGTCACACAAAATTTCAATGTCTACAAATGCCCCCTGCTTCAAGGCTTGTCGGAGCACTGACTTGATAAAACTCAAAGACGAGGCTTGAAGTACTCATTCTTCCTTTATATTTCATTTAAGAGAGAAGAGATGAAGGACATATTTGGTCCTACTGGTGTGCCAATTTTGTTTGCAACAAATTTTAAACATATGGAAAATAAACAAACCATACAAATAAAATATGAAGAAACATGATTTTATTGATTAAGATAGTTGATACAATTCTATTGATCCCTTGATTCTACTCTCCTAGGATTTATCCATGATATGAGGGCCGTTAGTGGCGTATTTCTCCATCTAGGATGATTTGGATTTTGACCTCTCTTTATGAATAAACCATCAATTTGTGGAGTATTCGAGATGTTGATCTCCTTATGAAATTTCCGAGATGCCTTTTAAGAGAATTTAGTACCCTTATATAGGCATAAATTAGGATTTAGGGTTGAATAGCCTCAAAGAATCCTAATTTGAGTTGATCACAATTTATAAATTCAACATGTCTATGGGATAACTTATCCAATCACTAAATATAAATAGTGGGATAAATATTCTCAGGACAACCAATTTCCTCCGATCAAACACATATTGTAATTCATATTATACTTAGAATTGATATACCTTATAACTTACATCAAGTCCTCCTAAGCTTATTAATCATCTAACATTTATCTAAAGCATGAAATTGGTTTATGGTTAGAGAGATTATGAAAATTTAGTACAACAAAATAGTACAATTTTTTCTTATTCAAATTTTACCGAGATAATTTCTTTTTTCTTAAATAGTGGATAAATTTAATTTACTTGAACTCTATTCTCTTGGATTTTATTTGTATGTTGAAGTGGAGACAGTAAAATTTTGAGAAAGTTAAGATGGTAGTCAATCAATTTATGCAAATGAGCCCGTTATGGCACCTGATCATCCAGGTTAAGTAAGATTGTATGGACATGGGATTACCAAGGCTCTTTTGAAAAACAAAGTGGCAGATTTTTTACCCCCTTCTATTGTGGTTGATTCTAAAAAAGGATGCATGAAAAGTTGAAAGACCAGAAAGATAACATGAAAAGATGTTACAATGAACATTATTGCAGAGCTTAATTGTCTAAATCGAGGATTAGCACTTGATCCTAGCATGCTAAGATTCAGTGTTCGTTCGCTTGGATAAGAGGGTGTTATTCCAGTAATCAATCATCCATCTGCTTGCACTATCAATGAAGGTTGGTACTTCTTATTTTTCTTCTTCTTCCTCCTCTCGTCCTACTTTATTCTACTTCTTCTTTCTTTATATTACGTGTAAATGTATCAATTTTAGTGTCACTTAAGATTTATCTGGTATATATAATTGTTGTGATATCTTGGGCTTTTACTTATCTGATATCTCATTCTCTATATATTCGTGAGAGATTTTTGCAACATCTCTCCCTTCTCATTCTTTTTATTGGTTCCTGCGAGTATTCATGCTCAAGGTCCCAGCTAGTGGGATATAAATTTAATTCCACATTACGTGTAACTTTTTGTAAATATCTCATGTACTTTCTATGACTGAACTGTGTTCTTATTTGTTTGCTTTTCAAAACCAGCATGTATTGTACCTTAGTATGGGGCTTTATTGTTTAGCAATTCAAGGCACAATCTAGTTAAAGGTACTTGTTTGGAAAATAATGATGGTACAAAGCTAATGAAGTTACATTATAGTGATGGATCAGTTATGTATGTTGATCCTGTCTTTGTTACAGTCTCATTGGGTGTTTAAAATAAAGGAATTCACGACAACTATGGAGTGTGCTAGGTTTAGTCTTCCACTTTCCATTTCCAAGTCTGAAACAATTTGAAGACTTAGGTTTGGTGTTGTTGGCAAGTTATTCTTGAACTGAGTAGTATAAGTTTTAGATTAGTTTGGTCTTTACATGAAAATCTAGTTGGTACTCAGTTTCAATTCAGTTTGGTACTCAATTTCTTATGCCTATTTTGGTTTGAACTTGTCTAATTGATACGCAGTTTCACATCAGGTTGGTACTCAGTTTCTTATGCCTATTTTGGTCTGAACTTGAAAATCTAAACTGTCAAGACTCATGACATAGGACTCAATAGATGGATCAATATTTGATCAAATGCTTACTGATTAAGTTTGATCTAATTCTTATTTATGATTTGTTTTTGTTTCAGACTCGTTAGAGTTGTTTGGTTTGAAAAAAAATGGATCATTAATGTCTCTAGTTTGATACATTGATCTATTATGAATTTCTTGAATGTTCTGGTTTCATTGTGATCCCTATAAGATCTACCCCATACAAAATTTTCTAATCAGTGTCTTTTGAGTGGTTAATAACATAACTTGACATTAGATATCTTCTTTTTGTAGGTGTCAAAAATGAAGAATGGAAAGAATAAAGCAGTAAAGGAAACCTTACCTGCTACTTCAGAAGTATTTTTAATTGTTGATATGTTCTAAAATTTATTTTGCTATTGTACATTATGAAAAATATCACATAATTTTTGGAATCATGTAAATGTCAACTAATGGTAATTTGGCTTGAACATTTTGAATTTACGGATGCATATGATTAACTTTATGGGTACTCTGAGTTGTCATTTACGAAAAAAATTTGTTTTGTTATTTCTATACTTAATAGTGTTATATATATATATATATATATATATATATATATATATATCATATCATATCATATCATATCATATATTATTATAAGCATGAAGCTCAAAACTTAAAAGTTGAATTACCATTTTGCCCCTCTAATAAATTAAAACTTATATAATTTATATATATATAATCTTCTTATTCTCATTTCATAATCTTGACCTTTCAAATTTCTAACATAAATGTAAATAAAAATAAAAGTGAGTAATTATCAAGAAATTAAAGTAGATTCATGTATCTTTAAAATTAAATTTCATCTCTATCTTTTTTATATTTATTTTAATAATAATTCATGTGACTTTTCCCTTATGCAGTTACCAGAATAGATAAGAATTCAATTACTGAAGCATCGGAGCTTGATGTATTAGTTTTATACTTATTTGTAGTAAGAATTATAATAAGACTTTTTTGTCTCTCTTCATATAATTGAATTCTTGTTTTATTAGCCAGTTGCTCTAAATTCATATTTATATTTGGTATGCTCCAATGTCCAGTTTCCCTATAGAGACAACCCAATGAAATGCAATTATCTTGCTCATGTGTACCTTTTTTTTTCTTTTCTCCGTACTTATAATTTTTACATATACATTAATTTTCATCTTTAAGAATGAATGTGATAAAATAGGATGTTTACTCTTTTCTTTTCTTTTTATGAAAAAAAAAAGGTGAAACATAGAATATTAGATTAATGGTGGATAAGTTATGTATGACAGAATTAAATTTTATATAAAAATAAGTAGTTATTCATAAATATTCTGATTTTTAAAATATAAATGATAAAACTTTTTACATCTTAGTTTTAAATATTTATAGTTAACTAATTAGTTAAAGTGTTTGTGGATAAAAATTTAATACAATACTTAAAACACATTCATTAAAAAAGTTGAAAGGTTTTGTTTTCCTTCACTCAAAGTTAATCTTACACTATCTAGCATTATTCTACCAATAAAACGGAACTATCAAGTGTTATTTTTCCTTTTAGCTTTGTAAACTTATTTTTTGAATTACAAACAAAGTTTATTTTATTAATTTCTCAACTATCAGAAAATTGAAGTGTCACAATTAGTAGTAAAACAAAGTAAGAAATCTCAATTAGACATATTTTATTATTTAGTAGTATTATCTTTTAAGAAATAATACACTCATGGGTTACACGCGCAAAGCGCGTGCACGGAAACTAGTATTATTATAAGCATGAACCTCTTAACCCCAAAGTTGATTTACCGTTTTAACCCTACAATATCATTTATATATTAATTTATTAAATATATTAGTTAAACCTATTAACCCCAAAGTTGATTTACCGTTTTAACCCCTACAATATCATTTATATATTAATTTATTAAATATATTAGTTAAATATTAATTATAATAAATTTAATTTCCTAACAGCCCTAATTTAATTATTCAGAAATGCCCATTGTTTGCTGCTCCACTTCTCTTATGCAACGGTTATGAAGTTTCATTATCTTTCTTCCAAAACCTTTTCAGCTACTCTCATCATCTGTATAAATGTCGCAAATCACATGTTATTGTCCATTAAATTGTTTCTGTTTTCTGTGCCTGGATGATGTACAGGTAAACATTTTTGGTGCTCTGTTTTTGTTGCCTAATAGTTACAGTCAATTTTTAACAGAAGTGTGATTATTATTCATTAAACTGTGCTTTTCATTAGCAAAAAAGCAAAATGGGACAATAAATTCATCGACAAACAGAGAATTGACTCACCGGAGGGTTTTCCCGATCTGTATGTGCTAATAATGGCGGCTGCTTAGTTCACCAGCGGCTTCAAAATAGTTAAAAAATAGTCCTTTTAAGTAAATGTATTAAGGGAATTATTCAGAAACGCCCCATCGATCGTTGCTGCCCCACTTATTTTCTGCAACGGTTATGAAGTATTATTATCCTTCTTCCAAAACCTTTTCAGCTACTCTCATCATCTGTATAAATGTCTCAAATCACATGTTATTGTCCATTAAATTGTTTCTCTTTTCTATGCTTTTTTTTTTTGAACTTTTAATTTTGTTAAATGTTGTTTGTGATTTTTAAACACTGCAGGTGTTTAACTTTGCTGTAGGAAACAATAGACGATGTCACTTTGTTAAGGTTAATCTACTTTTGCTGACGTTAATGTTTTTGTTTTGATCTGTTTTGCGTCTAATTGCAAGTATATGTACACTCTTAGCTTCCTAGCACATTGCGAGTTTAATTGATAGCTTTTACATGGTCTTATATGAACTTGCACATTACGATTACTTTTACTTGATAGCTTTTAGTTTTGCATACCCCACAATATTACGCGGATAAGGATACTTTGTAGATCCTCCTAGGATTGGCCTGACATAAGTTGAACCCTTTTTAGGTTCTCCAAGGTCATTGTAATAAGCATGGTCATAAATCCTGTCCCACTCCTCAAGCTTTCCAATTCCATTTCCTCTCAAGTTCAACAATTCCTCTTTCCTATACCAGTGCAATTTTACTGGAGTTTCACTTGGAAGCCAAGCCTGCATCATGTAAAAATAGTGCTCTGTCATAAACTGCATAGGCGTATGGATATACATATTATTTGAAAAAAAAAGTGCTCACCTGATTCACAAAGGTTGAGTTTGAGTGCCTACTTGTAAGTTGTAATTAATGTCTCTCTGAAGCAGGTTCTCGCGCGTTCAAAATAATTGAACTTGGTGCTGCAACAGATTTGTGAGTAGGAATTAATTATATTCCGAAGGAGTTTCTTTTAGATCCAAGGTAATTTCCTACTCTGCAACTTGAAAGTAAATAACATGAATTTGCGTAAGATTGTACATGTTTCACTTACTAAAGAAGTGAAGAATAAAGGAAATAAAATTTACAATAATAAGCATTAGTCTATGTGAGGGAATTATTTAATGATTTTTGCAAAAAAAATTGAGCTATGAGTTAGTTATGGGTCATCAAAATAGAATATTTCTCAATTTTCTGCAAATCTTTTTAAAATATCTTCTTTTATCTGTCGTTTTAATTACAGTAAATTATGTCATGCTGTCTTATTTTATTTTCAAGATTTGTGTGCACATGTAATGTACCAAATCTCTGTTTACACTGGAAATTTGTAATAATTATTAGCTGTAATATGGTTAGTTTGATGTCACAGCTTAGCTTAGCAACAATCATACACTTCATTGATCATCGATGTTTTAACTAGATGAATTTGCAAATACTATTTTCCTACCAGCAAGCTTCAATGGTATTGAGATCATCACCAAAAGTACCAGAAATGATCCAGCATGTTTGATAGTACATAAAATATTTTTCTATAAGTAATTTTGTGGACAACGATTTTCTGAAATATTTTGTACGAAAACACAATATTTGCGTCCTGTTAAGATATTATAGAATAAAATTATTATCATAACATGCAAACAGATTGTCCACCAAGGACTTTTCCATTTTGAATTCTATACGTTTGCAATATTTTCGTTATAGTAACTTGTTACATTTTTATTGATTTACTTCTATTTGAATCTACGTTTATCATCTCTTCATGTTCTAATAATGTTAGCAGGTTTCTTGCTATTGGAAACACAAGAATAGGTATTATTTCTCCTCCCTGGAACTTGCTTCAATTAATGTGATATTTATACTATTGTTAGTTGAAGTTGCTTGCTTTTAAAATTTAAAAAGAAAAATAGTTTATGTTTCATTAATATTACATTCTTGATCATCTTTATTATTAGACCAAAAGAACACTAATTATATAAAAACAAATAGCATTTACGTCACAAATATATATTGTATTAGTACATCCTAGATACTACAACAATACAATGACAAGTCTAGAAGAGCTCGAGAACCAGTGCCTACCAATTAGCAAGTTGAAGAAATATGCAACAGAATGGGTTATTAAAGTCTTAGTCATTCGTTTACATTGCTTCAAATCACAACTTTAGAAGACGCAAGTAAACCTATACAAGCATAATGGATTCATCAACAACCCACACTCTACAATGCGTTAGGGTCATTCTCAAAATATTTCTTTCATTACTATTATAAGCTTTATTAACATTATATTCTATTATAATGTTTAAATATTAGTATTATTAACAAATAACCGTACTTTCGTACTTCTGTTTAAACATTTCATATTAACTACATGTTTTTGTTACTAATTATTATTAAATGCATCAAATCTTTTTCACTATACAACATCACTAATACCTTATGTAATCATCAAAAGATTAATAAACACAATGTACGCTTCTACTACATCAATAACAATTCACTCAATCATTTCATAATCTTTCAGAAAGGTCGTCACCTTTCATAAAAGTCACAACTTTCTATAAAAGTCACAACTCTTCATAAAGGTCGCAACTCTTCATTTTCCATTCACACCTTTTTTAAATCCAACAATCCCCCGCATGAATGGGGAATGACTCGAAGACAAAGAAATAGACAAGTATGTGTACTTTACAAGCACGAATTAATTGCATCTGGATAAGTAGGTTTCCCCTTGGACTTTCCGTAGTGAACATATGTCGGATATACTCGGTCAATCGGTAGATATGATATCTTTGAACCGTCGAACTATGGTGTATACCTAGACAACCATATGTCACACAATTAACCCTTTACCCTTTATGGTTCTTACGGTTGTGTTCGTTTTAGCCATGAACACCTCCTAGTTTCATGAGTGTATAGAGAGATGGGCTTTTGACAATCATCTTCTTTAAAGCGGCTTGCACTTCACACTCACATAGGTGATTTCTAACCGTGTTATCACATAGATACACTATTTGGTCAACCCTGCCAAACTTAGCAAATCATTAAAACCATTAAGCTTTATTAACTCATTAACAAGCCTTAATGTTGTATCCTTGTCCCTGAGCATTGTCTTCATCATGAGAATGGATTGAGTTTATTGACAATGCCGAACCGTCATTC